AGCATGGCCGGAGAAGCGGTGCCTCGGTGTGCGCCCGGGATCCGAACCCGGGCTGCCAGCAGCGGAGCGCGCGCACTTAACCGCTAAGCCACGGGGCCAGCCCCAAACATCTCCTTTTCTACCCAGCTTCTTTCCCCTCATCTAGGACAGTGGTCAGGTGTTCCCTAGTTCCAAAGAAATCCATCAACTCCAAAGCTCCCTCTGTCTGTCATTCACTCTCATTCCTTCCCCTCTCTGTCTGGCTCCTTGAAAGAAGTGCCTGTGTTCACTGTCTCTGTTTCCTCATCTCCTTTTCCCTCCTAAATCTTCTATAATCTGGTTCCTACCCTTCTACTAAAACTGTGTTTGCTGCAGCCACCTATGACTTCCTTATTTCTAAATATTGTCTTTATCTTATGGACCCATCTGTTCATTTGACACTGTTGATTTCTTCCACCTTGAAACTCTACTTGAATGGCTTCCTAGATCTTTTCCTACATCTCGTCTTTCTGCTCCTACTCAGTCTCCTTCTTCCAGTCATTCCCTTAAGGTTTAATGTTCCCAAGGGCTCTATTCTTGCTTCTTATCTTTTTTCTCTGCTCATTCTCTCTGAGAGAGCTTATTCTCCTCTGTGGCTTCCATCACCATCAGCCCACACCTCTTTCTTGAGATCCCAAACCTCAAATCCTACTGACTAATGATATCATCTGGGTGTCCAAAAGACACTTCAAAACTCAACATGTCCCAAGTGGAACTCATCTGGCTTTCCCTGGCAATGTAGCTATGCCTCCTCCGGCATTGTCTGTCTTAGTGATTAGTACCTCTTTCCCAGTTACTACAGACAGAAAATCAGGTATGTATGGACTCCACCTTCTACATTTTATCTCTAAAGTCTGCCACTCCTCCTCTTTTACATCCTCCTTTTTGTCCTTTTATCTTCTGCTTCTGCTTAGTTCAGGTCCCTGTCATCTCTTGCTGGCACTGTTGTAGTGGTTTCCTCATTGTCCTTACCTCCAGACTCAGTCCCCTGCCATCCGTCTTCTACATGGTTATCAGAGGGTCCTTCTCCATCTCAAATCTGATCATGTTACTCTCCTGCTTAAGGCTTTGTTGGCTCCCCATTATCTTCTGAGTAAAGAGCAAAATCAAGGCCCATCCTCCTCCATGAGCTGAGCCCTCCCAACCCCACAACTTTATTCCCTGCCACTTTTCATCATACCGTCTAGGTTTCAACGGTAGCAAAATACTGACTGTTCCTTGAATATGCAGTGCTAGTTTCATGCTTCTGAGCCTTTGCAGATGTTCCCTGAATGTCCTTCCTCCTTCCTCTTAAGCTAACTGGTGAACTGATGTTCTGAGATCTTTTCAAGTGTCTTCCTCTGTGCAGTTTTCTCTGACCACCATCTCTTTGTCCCTTTCCCTCTGCTGTGGCTCTTGTTACCTTTATGGATAATTACTGGAAGCTCCTTAAGGATGGGCCCATTTTCTGTTATCTTTACAAGCCCCAGGCCTACCATTGTTCAATAAGTGAGGGAAATGTAGCAGAGTGGAGTGAGGACACAGAGAGCAGGCAGGATGCCCGCTGGTCAGGTCCCTCCTCACCCTCTGGAGGGAGCACCTTTTCCACAGATACATCCCACATAACCAGGCCCCAGCCTGTGTGGTACCAGGGCTGCAGCTGTGGGCCAGTCACTCCCAGGGCACACTGCCCATGATTGTATGGGCCTCATGGAACCTGTACTAATAACAAGTTTAGAGCTAGCACAGAGACAGTGCTCAATATGTACTATTCTAAGTGTTTACATATATCACCTCATTTTAGCCTCACAAGAACCTTTGACATAGGTATTAGTATTAGTCCCATTTTCCAAATGAGGAAACTGAAGCCCAGTTCATACAGCTAGTAAGTGGAGGAGTCAGTATTTATAAACAGAATGGGTTGATAAGTTGATATTTGTTGAAGCTGGTGTTAGGTACCCACGATCTCACTATATTGTTTTCTCTACTTTTGTGTAAGTCTAATAGTTTCCACAACAAAATATTTTTTAAAGACCAGATGGGATTAAATCAATGGACTTAACCTTTTTTTTCTTTTTAAGCAACAGAACACTTTCTCCAACAAAAATCTTGTGGAAAGGCTGATATGTACATGAAATAAAAGTGGATCTACTCTGGTTGAAGGGAAGCCAGACCCCTCCTTTTTCTCCCCTCTCACACTCAGCCCCACCCAAGGCACAGGGCTCAGGGAACACAGTTTAATGAAAATCACTGGGCCAGACTAACTCCCAGAATTCTTCTGGCACTTTTGCCTTCCTCTAGTTATATTGGCTTTGCGCTGGCCATTAGCCTAAATATCCTGTCCCAGAAACAGTGAGGCTGGGCTATTAATCATTTCTGCAGTCTGTGGAGAACTTGTTTGAAGGTTTGCAGAAACATGGGCTGCTATTAGAGATGCATTTCAATGTCTGTCTCTGCTGAGTGTTTATTAATAATCTCGCTAATCCCCGCTCTAGTTCCCGGATCTAGCTAACTCCGTCAAATGTCCTTGGGGAGCATTTTAAATTCTCCCTGATTTCTTGGAGCCAGACGCTTCCTTCTGCCTGGATTCCTCTCTGATACTTATATTCATGAATATTTCACATTTAATCTCCCTGATTACATTTCCATGTGATGCTCATGGTGCACTGGCTGCGTTTCTCAGGGAAGACATACAGGAAGCCCACGGTAAAGGCTTGAGTTTGCAGGTACAGTGCCAGAGACCTTTGTTCTTGCCACTGAGGTGGCCTTCTATCATGGACAGTGATGGGAGATGCTGAATGGTGGGCTTTGGAAGGGGCCTCTCAGTCTAGGGCTTTGCACCCTGGTTCAATGACCCTAAGGGACTGGCAGTTTCACTTAGGGATCAAATGCCACCAGGACCTGCCCAATGGCCTCAAAACCACATGTGGGTCCCTGTGACCGGAGTTTCTCTACAGCTTTCCAGCTGCCACCCAGGCCCCATCCTTCCTGCACTGTCTCCCTCCAATGTTCCCATTGCCACCCAGTACCTCTAGCTTCAGAGAAGAAACTCTGATGAAATCATCTGCACTGAGGAGGAAAAGTTAGCCCCAAATGCCTGAGGCCTTGTGTTTTTAAAGTCAGCCCCAGGGAAAGGACAGTGAGGCTTACCACTCTCATGGGATGGATGGGGTGGAGTGTTATGGAGGAGATGTGTGATTGGAAGGCCATAGATTTAGAAGTCACCAGTATAAACATATTAATCCAAACTGTAGGAGACATCAGGGTTCCCCAAGGAGAGAGAGGAGAGCTGTGGGCAGGACCCTGCAGAGGAGACAGAAATGATGGTCAAAGAGGCAAGATGACCCAAGAAGCACAAGTGTCCTGAAAGCCAGGGGAAGAAACCATTTCCAAATGGATGTGGTATGTGTGCCATGTGACAAATACTACAGAAAAAGTAATGTGACTAAGGAAATTGGACATGTGCTCATGCTTCCCTGGTAGGGTCCCACAGGCACGTTTATGGACTTTACTCTTTGAGAAGCTCTCCCACAGGCTGCTTTGGGAGTGAGCCCTCCCTGTGGCCTAAGGGGAAAGCCAGAGCCCAGCTGTCAGGTCTCCACATCCCCTGCAGGTAGCGCCTGCGAGGCTGTTTTGGCTGCAAAGAGGCACGTGAGGGCCACTAGCGGCCTGCTTTTCCACAGCTGCAGGGACAGGTGCTGGCAGTAAGGAGTCTCCCAAGGAGGATCTGCACCAGGGAGGCAGAGGATGAGGACTGAACAGGTTTGCAGCAACCACAGCTAAAGTGGCAATCAGGGCAGAGGACAGAGACCCATGTTCTACCCTCAGGAACTCACAAACCACTATGGCAACACAGCCCACCCAGGGCATTGCACTCTGGATGGCCTGAAGGAATACAGGTAAAGCCAGGATTTCCCTCCCAAACATTCTAGACTTTTCCCTTTCCTCTTAGTGACAAGCGTGTTTTCATTCCCACTGCCTCGTTCTAAAAGGAGCAGAGGCCACCATAATGGTTATATATCCTTCCCTTGCTAGATCACCAGCAGCCACTCAGATGACACTGTGGGGCCAGTCCTGGAGCTTTCTACCTGCCTGTGTCTGCTCTCTGCATCCCCAGAGGCAGAACAGGCACAGCCTTGGACCCACTCTGCAATCCTCAGACCTTGGGCTTACCACTGTGGTCTGAGCAGGTGCCTAGGATGGCAGCACCCATGTCAGTGCTTGGTCATTAGTTTCTCAGGGAGAATGTGAGTGACTCCAGCCCCTTCCAACTGACTGAGGCAGGGTGGCCCAGGGCCCTGGATCTTGTAGCAGAGGTTTGGGGTGTTTTGGAGCAAATAGTGAGGCTGGATTAGTAAGCAGCACAAGACCAACTAGCCGCCAGCTGACTTGTCATTATTTGCATACTCAGCCACCCTTTCAGGTTCTCCCAGGAGACACTCCTTAGGTCTTATCTGTGAAATGGAGAAGGCCTCATGAGAACTCTTTGTCCAGTGGCTGCAGCCTTGAAGTCTGGCCTGGCTTGGCCAGTCAGTTCTCTGGATCCTGTGACGAGACCTGTCCAGTGCTGGGGAAACAAGGAGAAGGCATATCTTGGGAGCACTGACTCTGACCTTAAACCAGACTTAAACTCACAGGAACCTAGAAAGATCTTTCCAAACAAGTACACAGGAAGGGCACTAGCAGCAGGGCAACTAATACGGGAGGTTGGAGAAGGAGGTCCTGTGGGTTTAAGGAATTGAGGTGGGCTTTCTGGGAGAGGCTGGATTGCACAGGACTTTGAAGACAGACACCAGTGGGTGTAAGTGGTCTTACACTCAGCTCACGGTCTTCCTCCCAGGGCGGGCAGGTCTGCCCCTCCCTCCCTGAATCTCCTGCCTGCTGCCAGGGGCGAATACCCCCAGAGGCCCAAAGGACAGGTGGGAAGGCCAGCTTCAGGGCTGAGAGCAGCCCGCTGTGTTCACTTCCTAACAAATCCCAGTCTCTCTGCTTTCTTCCCGCAGGACCCAGCCGCCGCCTCCATCTCAGACGGAGACTGTGACGCCCGGGAGGGTGAGTCAGTAGCCATGAATTACAAACCATCCCCGCTCCAAGTGAAGCTGGGTGAGTGTGTCTGGGGGGTGAGGGAGATGTGGGGAGTGGACAAGGTGCTCTGGGCTGGGTCTGCAACGAGGTGCCACAAATAAACCAACTCAGGCTAGGTGATTCCAAGACTCAAGTCACCAAGTCATTGGCACTGCCAGGCACCTTATCTCCTGCAAGCAACGAGGGAAGTTACAGTTCTCTGCAGGGCCCAAAACTCTAGGAGGCATCTCTGAGGCCAAGAAGGCTCTAGGTATTCCAGGGGATAGCTGCAGGGATAAAAGCATGGAACCCCAGAGAGAGGGTTGGAAGTGCCATCAAACACTGGACCAGGCTGAGAGGAAGCTGCCTTTGAGGTGGGTGTCAGTTGCTATGTCTCAGGGTAGAAAGGAATGAGGGCCAAAGCCAAGAAGCTGAGCCCCTCTCCCCATTCCTGCCTCAGCCTGTCGGGAGATCTCAGGGCCTGGTTGGCTCATTTTGGGGAGCCCTCCCCTTCCTGTCTTAGGAAACCCAAATATCTCCCCCCTTTCCAGGGTCACCTCTCCTTGGGTGTTTATCTCATGTCCACTCCAGCGTCAGTTTATTCTCCTTTAAAGCCCCATGGCTCCCGGCCATTGCCCCTCACTCCTGCAATGCTGTTCCCACAAACAGTGCCCTACCCTTCAGGGACCAGAGTTTCACTTAGCGAAGGCTGCCGTACATAACAGACTTCTACTAAAAATTTGGTTTTGTGAAGAGAAGTTACAACACAGTGCATCCAGGAAAGAATTTACAATTAAATACAAGTCATCATTATCCTTCAAACTCCTCTGTCATCCCTGCCACCTTCCTGTTCATCTTTCTGTCAGGCTCCAGCTGTCCACCAAATACTGGACCCCTCCTCATCCTAAGAGCACTTTCCCATCTATCGTACATCCTTCTCCCTTTGCACCTGCCAGGACTCCTTTTCACGGTCCTGTTCTTTTATTCAGCTTTTTTTTTTTTTACCTTGCTTCTCTCCTTCCAGACCACATCCAGGGAGCCCTTCAGGCTGTTTTCTAAACAAGAGAGCATCTCTCAGTGGAATTTATTCATCTTCCCAAGACACTAGACTCAAACTGCAGCCAGTTTTATTTGTTTTTTTTTTTTGTTTAATTTAACAATACAAGTATTTTAACAAGTATAACTTCTCCTTTACTCTTTCCCATCACATTCTCCTCCCCAGGGATAATCATTCCAAGCTTTTTTAGTTTTTCTAGTTTTATTTTGTATTTTAACATAAGTGGTATCATACTGTACACATTTTCTGAAACTTTTTTTGTTTTTGTTTTCATTTTCCACTTAATGTCTTGGAACCTCTTCCAATACCAGTATGCAGAGAATGACTTCATTCTTTTAAATGGTTGCATAGTAGTTTGTAGTTTGGCTTTGCCAGTTTATTGTTTGCATTTTTTCACAATTTTAAACAATTCCAACATGCTTTTAAAGTTTGCATTTTTTCACAATTTTAAACAATTCCAACATGCTTTTAAAGTAACACTTTTTTCCTCCTCATTATTTTACCACCAAAGCTCCTCATGAAAATTCACAGCCTTGTCCCTGTTGCACTCAAGAAAATAACCACCAGGAACTTTAAGGCAAATTGCACCCCCTAGAGGCTTGGCGTGGTAATGGCAGCTGCTGCCTACTGGAAAGAGGCTGGGGAAAAACTGGAAGAGTCAGATGAGCAGTGGCAAAGAAAGAGGAGCAGAGACTGGGAGATGAGGGGCAGAGACATGGAGCCGAGGGGAAATTCCAAGTCCCAGTAGCTGGAAACGTCCACCCCGTCCTTCCTCTCTGGAGTTCATGGTTGTTTTGTGAGAGCTTTCCCCTAGTATCCCTCTCCACCAACAGTCCCTTTTCCTACCTCTGGGCTTTATTACAGATGAGTAGGAGAGGGTGGGTGGGCCCCCTCCAGGATCCAGGCAGCTATGGCTACTGGAAACAGTGCCACACACGAGGCAGTGGGCCACCTGGTGGCCAGCTGCTTGAATCTGGTAGGCTCTGGAGCCTTGGAGAACTCAGAGGCTGGCAGAAGAGTCAGAAGTATAGCCAGAGGGGCTCCCCCAGCCTCCTGCCCCTTACGCTGCCAGCCCCATTCTTCCCCTCCCACTCCACAACCTTAAGTGGCTCCTTTTCCTTCTGTAATAATCCCAAACTCACCTCTCTGACCTTCAAAGCCTTCATGCTCTGAGTTTGTAATCAGAGGGAGCCCCCCAGCCCCTTAGCACAGGACCTGAGACATGATTGGTGACACAGATGTTTGTTGAATAAGTGAATGACCAAATAAATGTATCCTACTTTTCCAACCTGACTTCCTTCCATCTTCAGCCCTCCATCCCATCCAGATCCACATTTATTATGCTCGTTTCTAAATGCTTTTTTTTTCCTTTTTCTTTTTGGTGAGGAAGATTGCCCCTGAGCTAACATCTGTTGCCAATCTTCCTCTTTTTGCTTGAGGAAGGTTGCGCCTGAGCTAACATCCATGCCAATCTTCCTCTATTTTGTGTGTGGGATGCCCCACAGCATGGCTTGATGAGTGCTGTGTAGGTCCGCACCCAGGATCCGAACCTGCGAACCCCAGGCCACCGAAGTGGAGCCGAAGTGGAGCATGCGAACTTAACCACTACACCACCGGGCCAGCCCCTCTAAATGCACTTTTATATACACTATCCTTCCTTCCTAGAATGCCCTCCTCTCTCCAGCTCAAGTTGTCACCTGCAGGAAGCCCTGACTGCTCCATCCTTCTGCCCCTCTCTCCTTCTCTAGCCTTTCTCTGGCATCAAGCACACACCGACTGCCCCACATGGGAGTACAGCTCCTCATAGACAGGGGTCAGCCTCCTCCTGTTGCCCCTCACTATCTGCCTTGGCTTGTGCAGGGCCAAGTACTGTCTCCACCAAGCAGGAGGGCCTGGAGTTGGGATCCCTGCCTCAGTTCCTAGAAAAGCAAGGGGTTTCACAATGGAGGCCCAGCCCAGGCTGCCTGAGCAGTAAGGTAGGGTGGCCCTGGGGCAGGACACAGCTTCCTTCCCACGTTCCCCTGCAGAGAAGCAGCGGGAGCTGGCCCGGAAGGGCTCCCTGAAGAATGGCAGTATGGGTAGCCCCGTCAACCAGCAGCCCAAGAAGAACAACGTTATGGCCCGGACAAGGTAAAGACCCTCTGCCCCTCCCGGACCCTACCAGTCAGCAGCTATCTCGGCTGGTCCTGAGCCTCCCTCTCTTCCTTCCTTCCTCAGGCCCAGCTCCTCTGTGAGAGGAGAGTCTCAACAGGATCCAAGGGGGGTGGAGGGGTCAGGGCCCTACCCAGTTCCTTGCCAGGTTTGTGTGCTCCAGTTGCCAATCCAATCCCCCAAATTCTCCACCCAGGCTGGTCGTCCCCAATAAAGGCTACTCCTCTCTTGACCAGAGCCCAGACGAGAAGCCACTGGTAGCTCTTGATACAGACAGGTGTGTACGGGGACCCTGGGGGAGCTGGGCAAGCCACAGGAAGCATGTGAACATCCAAATGAGCTGTACAGGCCACATCTGCTATATTGTTAGAATTAGGGTGTTCCTCAGACAGCCAGATGCTCTCTGAGGGTGAATCCCTCAGGGAATGGAATTTTGTACCTGGAGGTGGGGGGGAGCAGAGAGAGGAAAAGGGCACTGGTGCAGTCTGCTGCTGGCCTGGACAACTGATCCAATGGCTGCCCCTAGAAAGGGCCCTGGTGCGATGCTTAATGCTCTGCACCCTCTAAGGGAAGGGACCTATTGCTGGGAACACACCCCGATGGACCTGGACTTTAGGAAAACCCAACAAGCCAGGATGATTTGGGCCTGATAAAAAGGTGGAGGGATGAGGGCAAGAGAGTAGCAGCTCTATTTAGAAGGAGGTTAAGGGTGGCAATTTATTTAGAAGGGGGGTGGGGGTAAGGAACCTGTCTTAAAACTGCATTTGCACAGCAAGCATAGTTTTTGTTTAGATCGTGCTGTTTATTTGGAAGCGTGGGGGAGGGGTGGGGTATTGACTGATGGGGGAGGGTGCAGGGAGCTTTCTATTTAGTTTCCCGGAATCACTTCCTCTCTGTCTTCTTTCCTCCACGCAGCGATGATGACTTTGACATGTCCAGATATTCCTCCTCTGGCTACTCCTCTGCTGAGGTGAGGCCCCATCCCTTCCCGCCCTAGACACAGCGGAGCAGGCCCACCTCCACCTAGGGGAAGGGGTGAGGCCAGCGCCGAATCTCGCCCCAGAGGAGCAATGGGCAAAGCTAGGCGGATCCCCACGGGGGCGGGGCCTTATGGTTAGGGGCGGGGCTTGGGCCCTGGGTTGGAGCAGGGCTCTCAAATAGACTGGGGTGTGAAATATAGGTGACACCTTGTGAGGGAGGGCCTGAAATAGGGGCAGGGCCGAGCAGAGGCAGGACCTAAGGTGGGAAGTTGTCGGTAGAATGGGGTGGGGTCTGGAGTGGGGCGGGGCCTCGTAAGGATGTGCCTGTAAGAAAGTGAGGCCAGAACTGAGGGTGGGGCCTGAGGAGGGGCGAAGCCTGGGGTTTCAGAGAGACCTGGGATGGGACAGGCTGGGCGCGGATGGCCTGGGGATGCGGCCCGGGCGTGGGTCGTGCCTCTGGATCGCCTCGAGCCTCCCTCCCCTTTGTCTACAGCAGATCAATCAAGATTTGAACATCCAGCTGCTGAAGGACGGCTACCGGTTAGACGAGATCCCCGACGACGAGGACCTGGACCTCATTCCCCCCAAGTCCGTGAACCCCACCTGCATGTGCTGCCAGGCCACGTCCTCCACCGCCTGCCACATTCAGTAGCGGGCGGGCCGCCGCGGCCTCCCGGGGCGGGGCCGCCGCGGGCCAGGTTGGACAGGGCAGGGGCCATCCCACCCCAGCTCGTCCACCTGCCCCGGGCCCCCGCGCCCCTACAGCCGCCAACCTCGTAACAGTCATTGCTTCCTCCTATGGTAGGACGTGTACCTCTGTGTGTTCATGGAGCCGGAGAAACCAAAACCGGGTCTCTCTCCACCCCGGGGGCTGAGGAGAGGTGGGGGCTGTTTGTTCAGTTACTTGGGGGACCTCGCCCAGCACCCTGCCCCCCTCTCCAAAGCTGCAGTCTGGTGCGGGAGAGGGGGAGCTGGACGGCAGGGAAGCCAACAGTAATGAATGGGGGAGGGATCACAAAGCCAGGGCTTGGCCCCACCCTAGCGAAGCCATGAACCCCCCAGCCCCAGCCTGACAGGGAAAGGGGCTTGGAGGGAGAAAGGCCCAAGGCAGTGGGGGCGGGGCCCAGCACCTCGGAGCCCGCTCCACGCGCCCCCTGCCGGCCCATATACCTATTTGCGTGTCTCCCCTCATCTCCAGATGGGAAGCCTGGCAAAGCTGCCCAGCCGGACATCGCCCCCACCCATCGGATCACTGCCCTCTTCCCTCTCTTTGCCCCATTCACCCCCTTCCTTGCTTTCTGAGTTGTAAGGGAGGGTAAGGTGGGCCTTAGAGCCAGGCCAGAGTTTGGGGTGCTATGATCTGTCCTCAGCTGTCCCTAACCAATGCATCTATCTCTCTGCCAACTTCCCCCCACACACACTCTGTTCACTGGTCTCTGTCACAGGCTGGAAGGAGGAGGTAAGGCTGGCCTTGAATGCCCCGTTCCCATCTCACTCCAACCCAAGATTCTGGACGCTGCTTGCCAGTAAGAATCTTCCAGGAAGCAAGCTTAGGAGAATATAGTGGCTGCATGTGTGTGGTAGGGAGAGGTTGGCGGAATGTGTATGTGCCTGAGGCTGTCAGGGTGTGTGTCTGTCTCTCCAGATGTCTGTTTCTGTCATGGGTGTGAGTGTCCAGGGTGGGGAAGTGACTGTGTGGTCTGTTAACAGTGTGAGAGGCTGCTCATCCACAGTGCAGTGGATGAGAGCCCAGGACTGGGAGTCAGAAGCCTGGGTTCTGGTCCTAGCTCTGCCATCTCTCTATGATCTTCAACAAGCCACCTGGGTTCTCCAGTCTTCAGTTTCCTTCACCATAAAATGAGCAGTATCTGAAATTATTTTTAAGGTCCTTTCAAACCTGAAGGAATTTTTTCACAGGAATTTCTGTGGAGGTGTACAGGAGGTCTCTGTGTGTCTTTGAGTACACCTAGAGGGCTTTCTGAGTCTTACGTCTGTGTAGAAAGGAGAGGGGAAGTTCCTACGGGACCTGTGTGTGTCTGAGTACATGCGGATCTATTTGTGAATACGTGTGTGTGTCTGTGAATGTGTGTGGGGGCTATCTATTGTGTGTGTAGCTATATGGGGAGTCTATGAGTCAGAATGTGTGTACTGCTGCTTCTGCCACTGTTGCTGGTTGCAGGGAGGGGGTGCCAGAAAAGCTGAGGATGAAAATCAAGAGGGAGGAGGCGACCAAGGCCCTCCCCTGGGACTGGGCAATATAGACCAGCCCCCATGTGAAGAAAAACAAAAGCACAGATAGACTAAGACTGCTCAGGTCTATGCCCCACAAATACCATATCCCAGGGCCAGAGTGTACCCTCCCCATTCCTCCATGCTGACACCCCACACGTGCTGGTGTGTCCACACTCATCTATACCACTCACATGCTGCAGGCCTGTGGAGGACAACCCACAGCCCACTCCCTGCTGGCTCTTCCTGCGGGTGGGAGCTGGAAGGGGGAGAGGGCAGGAAGAGAGAATAAGGCTGCTGGCTTAAAAGGGCAGCACCTCTACCTGCACCATGCCCAGGGCTGCCAACTCCAAGGTGTGGAGGTGCAGCTCTCCACCCTCAACTCCTCCAACCTGCCCCTGCCTCCACCAGGCCAGGGCCCTGCCGAGATGAGGAGAAAATGCCGAAGGAGGCAAGGACACAGAAGGCACCTGCAGGGCCCCCATCTGAGCCCATCTCGCCCACCCTGGTCAGCATCCCTACCCCCCATCATCTGGGCCCCAGAACCAAGCCTCCTACTACCACCACCACCACCCTGGGCTCCTCAACTCCCCCTTCTAGAACATGGGTACCTCTTTTTTTCTGGGCAGGGCACCCACAAGGGCTCATTTAGACTGCTGCCTTTGCTAATGACTTGCTGTGTGACTCTGGCCTACTGCTCAACCTCTGGCCCTGAGGAACCAGGGGAAAGCTCGCTCCCTACAGGATATACCTAGTCCCCTGGCAGGCAAGTGCTTCTGACCGAGGCAGTGTAGGAGTGGTGGAGAGAGGTAGGAAGCTGGCAGCCAGCACCTTTGGGGTCTAGGGAGAGTGCGTGGTTCCCTTCTCCCCTGTCTGGAAGGTTGGAGGGGAGGAATCGAGGCCTTAGCTTGCCCCCTGCCACCATTCCCCCTTGTAGATACTGCCTTAACACTCCCTTTACCCTCAGCTCTGGCTGCCACCCAGCCAGGTTTCTCCGTGCTCACTAATTTATTTCCAGGAAGGTGTGTGGAAGACATGAGCCGTGTATAATATTTTTTTTTTAACATTTCCATCGCAGTATTGACCATCATCCTTGGTTGTGTATCGTGTAACACAAATAATGATATTAAAAGCATCAAACAAGCCAGCCTCAGCTCCCTACCTGGGGTATGGGCAAGGGGCAGGTGGGCTGGGAAAGGGAGAGAACTGATCCGCTGAATGTACATTTCATTCTACCTCCACTCGTGGGTTAGCAGGCCAGGCCTGCCGCTGATCTGTTACATGACCCTGGGCGAGGCACTTGATCCCTCGGAACCTCTGTTTCTCTTCATCGAAGTGAGAAGCTTGGCCTAGACGATCTCCAGGGGCCCTCTGAACTCTGGGAAATTGGGCTCTTTTGAGAGGCTTGGAGGAAGAGGCTGGGGGTAGGGAGGGAATAGGACCGCCTCACTTCCCCAGGGATGGGGCTGAGCCAGGTGATATCATAATGGGCAGTGCCCATCCTGGAGGGGGAAGCAGGGTGGGGTAGGAGCAGGAAGGTTGTAGGGGAGCGAAGCTGAGAGATCCTTCACAGGGGGTCACAGCAGCTAAGGGCACCTGCCGGCCTGGAGGTGTGGGCTGTCTGGGAGAGGGGTGGTCACTGATGTCTTGCAGGAGCCCTTGGTAGGTAGAGCCCACCACGGCATCCCCTAGACCCCACCATGTTCCTCTTCTCCCGTAAGACCAAGACTCCCATCAGCACCTACAGTGACTCCTACAGGGCTCCTACCTCCATCAAGGAGGTCTATAAGGACCCACCTCTGTGGGCCTGGGAGGCCAACAAGTTTGTGACCCCGGTAAGTGGAAGTTGGGGGTGGGGGACAGGCCAGAGTGTATGGCCATGCATGTCTGGATGACTGCCAGTGTGTGTTTGTCGTTATGTGTTTGTAATTATTTGTACCTTGTGTGTGTATGTGTTTCATTCATTTTCCTAGGCATGGAATTTATAGTGATATATAAAATAATACAAGATCCTGCCCTCATGGTACCCTTCTACTCCACCACAGTAAGAGGTGGAGAGAGATAGATAATAATCAAGAAATAAACAAGAGTTTTACAAATTGTCCAAAATGCTATAAAGGAAATAAACAGGGTAATGGAAATGGAAAGTAGCCAGGGAGAGCTACTTAAATAGAGAGGTCATGGAAGACCTCTCTCTCTCAAGGTGACGTTGAGCTGAGACTGGAAAGATGCAAGAGAACTAGCCATGTGAAGAGCTGAAAGAATAGGGTTCCAGGCAGGAAGATCAGAAAATGCAAAGGCCCTGAGGCTGCCTGTGGGATATAGGCATGTTGTTATGCATGTGTATCACAGTCTCCTTGTGTCTGTGTGTCTGTGCTTGAAGACAGGTGGCCAAGTGGGTCTGTAGAGCTTTCACAAAATGGAGAGAAAATCTGTGAATCATATTGTGACTCTGCCTAAGGGAATTTATCCAGGTATACCATCCAACAAAACTTTGCTGAGTATCTACATGTGCCAGGCACAATGCAGATACAATGAAGGGCCAGGCTCTGCCTTTGAGGAGCTCTCAGCAAACAAGTGGACAAAGTAGGGTTGCCCAGTGTGGAACATGCACCTGCAGAGGCATGTGCTGGTCAAGAGCCAGAAAGGGGACAGCATTCCCAGGCCTTGAAGGGCAGGTCTCCTAAGAGATCCAGAGGAGGGAGGCTTTCAGCAGAAAAGAGTCGGAGGAAAAGGGCAGCGTGGGGGCAGGGACCCACCAGGAACTGAGAACTGCTGGAGCAGAAAGAGAGGCTGGCCCTATGGGAAGAGAGGAGCCTTCATACCACGAGGAGCCTCAGGCTGTGTTGAGAATGCGGACATAACGCTCCAGGTGTGTGAACCGGGGAGTGTCATGGTTGGATTGTGAGTTACACCACTCTGGCCACAGTGGCAGGAGACTGGAGGGGCTGAGGCTGAGGGCAGGAAGTCCAGTGAGGTGGTAAAGGATGAGGGAGGAGGATGTGGGTGGGAGATAAGGAGAGACTGTGGCAGTGAAAAGGGGAATTTGTTGAATAGGAGAGAATTTTTTAAATAATTATTATAATTACAAAATAAATATATGCTCAATGCAGAAAATGCAGATAACTCAGAGAAGTACAAAGAAGAAAGTCCTATAATCTCACTACCCAAAATAACCACTGTTAATTGATTATATGCCCTTTGGGGAAGCAAAGATTATTTTTTATGAAAATGGTATCCTAAGGTATACTAATATTTTGAATCTTGCTTTTTTCACATAACCATATTTCAGGTACATTTTCCTGTATCAAAAAATATTTTATAATGTAATTTTAATGACACAGTGTTTTATTTTATGAATACCAAAATATATTTAAAGAATCTCATATTATTGGAAATTTAGATTGTTTACAAAATTTTGCTAGTATAATCATTCTTGTACATATATCTTTGTATATATCAAGTATATCCTTTGTATACCCTATTCCCTTACAGTAAATTCCTAGACATGAAATTGTTGGGAGAAAGAATATGTACATTTTTAAAACTTTTGATATATGCTTCGAATTGCTATAATAAGAGTTGTAATAATCTACATGCCCACCATCAAAATATGAGAGTGCCTGCCTGCTTCCCACACTCAATAGGACGGCATTTTAAGAAGTAGATCAACAGATCTCGGTCACCACCACAATTTGGATGTAAAGAAGAGGAAAGAGATTAGGATGACTCCCAGGTTTGGGGCTCTGGCAACTGGAGGAATGGTGATGCTGCCAACTGGGGTTTGGAATTGCAGATTAGAGAGAGATGTGGGGTTCATTTTGGGACAAAAATATTCGAGGACTTCCAGGAAAAGATGTGGTAGGTAGTTGGATACACTTATCTGAAGCAAAGAAAAGAGGCT